ACAGAGCTCCTGAGCCAGAGGAAAGCAAAGAGCCACCCGTGGTCTTCCCCAAATGAAGAGTCCCTTTGGCCTGTGGGGAACATCAGGCCCCCCTCCCTTGCCCCTCTCTCTGCATTGGTGGCATTTCCTGGTGTGGCAGGAAGGAGCCGCCTTCCTGCCCAGCTGGATGGGGCCTGATGAGGCTTTGTCCCTGCTCTTCCTCCCCTCAGGCTTCGACTGCCGCTGCGGGAACCTGTTCTGTGCCATTCACCGGTACTCTGACATGCACGCCTGCCCCTACGACTACAAGGCAGAAGCTGCCGAGAAGATCCGCAAGGAAAACCCCATCGTCATCGCCGAGAAGATACAGAAGTTGTGAAGGGGTTCGAGCAGCTCGAACTGCAGCCAGGCTGCCTGGTGCTCCTCCCCTTCCTCCCAGCCTTCCTCTTCCTCCTCCCAACCCCTGCCGCGGTGCGAGGGTGACTCCGGCAGCGCACACAACCCGGCACCTGGACATGGGGCATCCTCGCGCCTCTGGCAGTCAGTTGGTGTTCCTTCTCTCCCTTCCTGCCTGTCTGACAGCCACAGCTCAGCTGATGTGTTCTCAACCAGCTTCTCAAAGGAACAGGGACCGTCCTGCCCCGCTGCTCTGGCTCTAAGACCTTCGCACTCGCCTCTTGCCGGGCACTTTGTGTGGCGTGAGCGGCCGGGCTCTGCTGAGCAGCCTTTCCCTTCCCGGCGGCTCCGAGTCCTGCAAACCACCCAGGACTGGTGGCCGCAGTCCCCGAGCAGCCGCTGGACTCTTCCCTCTGCCTGTAATCCCGGGAGCTGGGGGATCCTGGCAGCCAGGCTGCCGTCTGCTCCCCGGGAGGTGTTTGCTCTCTGATGCAGAAAAGTTGATTCTGTAGTTCCAGCACCCCAGACCCCTCTCCCCACCCTCTGTTGACGCTGTTGGAGAAGCACCAAGGGGGTTGAGCAGTGATGCTGGCACAGGGAAGATATTTTGTGGCTTGAAGTGACGTGGGCAGGGCAGGACCTTCCAGGAGGTTCTGCTTGCTGCCTTGTGCCTCTCTCCACAGGGAGGGAGCCAGGGACACCCCTGCTCCAGCCTCCTGCTTCAGCACCCCTGGATAACCCCGGCTGCTTTCCCAGCAAGGTGTGTCCCCCTCAGTGCTGCCTGTGCCTGCTCTCCTCTCTCCCCTCTTTCCTCTCCCCTTTCTTCTCTCCCTTCTCTCCTCTCTCCTTGCCTTCTGCCTTACACGAGTCGCTCTCATCAGGGTTGTGCACAAAGCTCAGGTCCCCACACCTCTGCTTCTGGACCTGTCCCTGCATCCAGGCGACAGTGGGGTCCCCTCCTCCCATGTGGCCATGCTGGTATTGGGGAGAGCTCGGGGAACCCACCCAGCTGCCCTCCTCTGCCTCCCCCCTCCCTGTGGGATGAGAGGCAGGGCCAGGTCCCCAGGAGATGCTCTGCAAGCCAGACAGAGGGAACTGGGGCACAGGGAAAGTCACGAGGAGGGTCCCACGGTGCCCAGAAGTCCAGGTGGGGGCTCAGAAATGCCCATGGAGAGACCCAGGGAGCAAGGAGAGGTGCTTGGAGGGCTCTTGGCTCACTGTGAGACTCAGAATTCCCTGAGGTGCTGGAAGGCCCAGGGAGGGCTCTGGGGTGCAAGGGAAGGCAGAAGGAGAGCTTTGGGGTACAGTGAACATGCTCAGAGGCCTCAAGCACCCCAAAAGCCACTTGGAAGGCTCTGGGGGTGCACACACTCACACAGGAAGGGAGGTGTAGGAAAAACCAAATGCCACTCAGCACCACTCCAGAAGGAGCACTTGGAGGGCTCTTTGGGAGGACCCAGGGATCGGGGATGCAGCACAAGACAGGCAGAGGCTCCTGGGGCACAGCCACAGCCTCTCCCATGCCCAGGGGATTCCTGGGAACATCAGGAGTGGGGCTGTGGCCAACGGGCTCTGCCTCTCAAGCAGAGAAACCCAGATGTGTCCCGTGAGACAAGCAGCAGCCTCTGTCCCACTCTGCTGGCCATCCCACGCTTTGGAAGCATTTCCCTCAGTGTCAGCAGAGCTGCAGGGCCCAGCTGGGGGAAATCACAGCAGCTCCTTCCTTCCAAGGACTTTTCCTGCCCTGCTTGTGGCAGTTCTGCCCAGGGGCTGGTGGGGGATCCCTCTGGGTGTTTGGTTTCTGCAGTCTGCTCCAGCCAAAGCAGTGTGTTCTCTGTGCCAGCTGCCATCCTGTGCTGCTACCAGCAGCATCTGAACCTCCCAAACTGCTGCAAACCCCCCCTCCAGCACAGAGAGGAGTGAGGCTGCCTCTCACCAGCCTTTTCCTCAGGTTTTTCCTTCTGGATAACACTGACATCATGTCTGGAGCACGCAAGTGGCTGCACCCCTGGACACACCTGGGCCATCAGTGCAGAGCTGGTGCGCCCGGCTGGCTTTGCCACTGAGCTTTTGGCTGAGGATGATCCCTCACCCTCGGGGGATGCAGGAATTGCAGCCACCAGCGCCCAGGAAGTGCAGCAGCTCCCATGGATCCCTTGGGAAAGCCCACAGCCACCTGCTTCTCCAGCACTGCCCTTTTCCCTGTTCTCCCTCCCTGTCCATGAGTGTAAATACAACACAGTCTAGTTTGCTTGGATGCTGTGGGTGCTCTGTTTCAGGCAGGGATGTCTGTGGGGCTTGGCTTGGCTCTTTTGGGGTGGCTGTGGGGCTCAGTGCCTGAGTTTCCCTGTGGGTGATCATTGACAGTACCTGGTGCTGCTTGGGGATCAGAGCACCCCAGACCTGCACCCCCAGATCTCAAATCCACCAGGGGCTGGGCTGGATGATCTTCAGAGGTCACTTCAACCCTGACAAGTCTGGGATTTTGCCTTCTGCCTGAGCAGGAAGCCCTGGCTGGGTTTGAGGGGCTCTGAGGTTCTCCTGGTTCCCTCTTGTCTGCTGTCACCCCCTTGGGGCAGGAAAGGGCAAAAGGAAAAGCCTTCCCTCTCGCCATATCCATGTGGGGCATTCGGGCAGTGTGTGGCACCAGGACTGACTTCAGCAAGGCTTTGGATGCTGCCTCCCGTGACAGCTCTGTAGGTAGACACGGGAAATGTGGGAAGATGGACTGGGGGGAGGGCCTGGCTGAAGGCAGAGCTCCGAGGGGCCTGGTAGGCACAGCAGAGTCCACCTGTGCTCAGCGCTGTCCCCAGGGGTCGGTACCTCCAGCCCTGTGCAGTTCGGGTAGCAAAACCCTGCCCGAGGGACAGAACGGGTCCTGATCAGGTTTCACCGTGATTCGGACCAGGGTGGGGGTGACTGCTTCAACTGAAGGCCGTGCTGCCATCCAGAGGGACCTTGAGGGGCTGGCTGAGAGCTGGGTGGGGGCAAACCTAAGGGGGTTCAACAAGGGCAGGTGTAGGATCCTGCACCCGGGGAGGAACAACCCAGCACGGGCTGGGGGTGACCCCGCTGGAGAGCAGCTCTGCAGAGAAGCACCTGGGGGTCCTGGTGGATGACAAACCGTCCCTGAGCCAGCAGAGTGTCCTGGGGCCAGGGGGACCCTGGGGGGCATCAGAGGAATGTGGCCAGCAGGGCAGGGAGGGATCCTGCCCCTCTACTTGGGGGGGCATGTCTGGGCTGCTGTGTCCAGGTCTGGGACAAGAAGGACAAGGAGCTACTGGGGAGAGTCCAGTGGAGGCCCCAGAGATGATTTGGGGTCTGGAGCGTCTCTCTGATGAGGAGAGACCATGGGAGCTGGGCTTGGTTAATCCAGGGAAGACTTGAGAGTGTTGCATGTTTGGTTTTTCTTTTAAAAGACTATAAAATGAGACAGTTTAAAGTCATAAAAACTCAGAAGTTACATTCGAGAGTACAACGATATGGAGAACAGCCAGGTTTCCATCGATACAAACCAAACCCAGCTCCAGAGCCGTGACAAATGCCCGTTCATTGAGTCCAGCTGACTTTGGGTGTCGCAGTGCTCAGGCAGAGCACCCAAGTGCCCGTTGAACTCCTCCACTCGCTGCTCGCGGGTTTTCCAAGCTGTCTTCAGGATCCGCTCCATTTGCTGCTTCTCCTGCATCTTCTCCAAGGCCACCTGCGCCGGGGTGTGATTGTCCAGCCCGCGCTTCTCCTGCTCCTGCTCCTTGCTGCCCGTGATCTGCTCCGGGCTCTGGGCTTTGTCTTTCTCCTTCTCCCGCTTGCCCCCAGGGCGCCCCCGCTGCCCTTCAGCCGCAGGGGACAGGGGACCGCGCTCCGTGATTTTCCTCAAACTTACAGATTTTTGTCAAATTTTATACAGTCCCAAACCCATCGGTTTAATGTTCATTGGTCCCTCGCCTCTGATGTTAATTAGGTGTTCACTCCTGATTTGCATTTCCTTGCCAGCCTTTTCCAGGTGTCTCCAGCCGTGCCAGGGGGCAGGTCTGGAGCAGAAGTTCGCTGATGTTTCGCCAATGGCCCTTGATGGCCTTTATCTCTCGTGTATCTCGTGCTGCTCTCGGCCTGCAGAGATACCGAACTCATCATTGTTCCTGGTGGAACAATGCTTTAGAAAGAAACTTCCGTTCCCTTCCCCCGGGGCAAATGAGAACAAACGTGGCTAAAGTTAAGAAATAAAAATTTTAAACTCGGCATATTTTCCAACAAGAGGCGATCTCACCAATCCACCTAAACATCTCCAACGTGAGTGCCAGACTCCTTCCAGTGGTGCAGTGGCCATAAACTGAACTAAACCACAATAAGTCCCACCTCAACGTGAGGAAGAGCTCATTTACACTGAGGGTGGCAGAGCACTGAGCAGCTGCCCAGGGAGGCGGTAAAGTCTCTCTCTCCGGAGACATTCCAAGCCCACCTGCTCCAGGTGACCAAGGTCGGGCTGGACGATCTCCAGGTCCCTTCCAACCCCATTTGGGATTTTGGGATCCAGGGACCGAGGAGAGGCCGCACCGCGTCCCCGCCATGAGGCGGCCGCGCTGTTCCCATGGCAACGGGCGCTGGACGATGGCGTCACTTCCGGCCGGGGCGGGGCCAGCGCCGCCCCCGCCTGGGAGGCCGCAACGGCCGCGGGGCCTCGGGCAGCGGCGAGCGGGGCCGGGAGGATGTGCAGGTACCGGGCGGGCACGGGCCCACGGGCCGGGGGCGGCCTGCAGGCAGCGGGGCGGGCACGGTGTGGTGGTGGGGGTCCCACAGCGCGGTCAGAGGGAGGAGAGGCCCCGGCACGCGGGGGAGGCCGCGCTGGTCCGTGGGGGGGGGACACAGTGGTCAGTGTGGGGGGGATATAGTGGTCAGTGTCGGTTTGGGAGGTGGGGTCAGTGAGGGTGTGGGACCCCCCCAGCGGGCAGTGGGAGGGGGGAGGCCGGGCAGGATGTGTGAGACCCCCCAGCAGGCGGGAGAGGCTCCCGGTGGGGGCAGGGGAGAGCCACGCGGGCCAGTGTGGGCTCATGGGCACCCCTCAGTAGTCGGGGGGCTCTCGGGGAGGTCAGTGCGGGGGTCGGGTCCAGGGGGGCTGTGGGGGACACGCACACAGTGATCGGGAGGGGTCCCACTGCTCAGTGTGTGTTTGGGGGGGGTCCCTCAGCGATCAGTCAGGGGATTGGGGCCCACAGCAGTCGGGGGGGCCCCACACGGGTCAGTGTGGGGAGGTCTCCATGCTTGGCTGCAAGGTGGGAGGGCCACAGTGGACAGCGAGGGGAAGAGCTCACTGCTCAGGGGTGGGGGTGGGTTGGGGTGAGGGGTCACTGCTGGGGGAGGCACTGGAGGGAAATGTGTGTGCGGGGTGGGGGTCCCGTGCTGCCAGGGGAGGGGGGAGCACCCACCAGTCAGTGGTGGGGGCCCCACAGAGGTCAGTACAGCAGGGATCCCCCTCGGTGGGTGGGGGGTCGGTGTGTGTGCGGTGGGTCGCGCCCCCACAGCAGGCGTGGGGCGAGGGCAGGGGCCGGGCAGGGCCGGCCACCCACGACGGGCTGTCCCCAGCTGGTGCCTGGCTTTGTCCCAGCGTGTGCAAGACACACGACACGAGTGTGGCTCGAGGTGTAAGTGGCCCGTAGTGCCACCTCCCCGTGTGGACCCCACGCGGGTGCGCGGCCCCCGGACGTCCCGTTCTGCCCCGGGAGTGCTGGTCCCGGCGGCACACGGGGTGCCAGCCCTGGGAGGGACACGGCTGCCACGTGCCGGGTGTCACACCGGCCCTGGCCCTGCTGTGGATGGTCACCGGCCCGAGGGGGCTCCCGTCGGGGCACGGGGCATCCCTTCGCTCCCAGTATTTTGGCATATTTCAGTGCCAAATCCCAGCTTCAGTGCCATATCCCTCTTCCACCCTTTCCTCCCCTTTCCCAGGCCTTCGGAAGCAGATGGAGCGAATTCCTCGGGGTGTGGGCTGGTTTGACATTCCTCAGCTCAAGCCTGTGCCCAAACTTGCAGAAAATAGTTGCCTTTTTTTTTTTTTCCTTCTTTTTTTTTTTCGCTTTCTCTCTTTCCTCTCCCCTTTCCCCTTTTTCCTCGGGAGCTCAGCACTCCCGAACGCCTGTGCCGGCACCTAGGTGGCCCCGGGGGAGCCGTGTCCTTTGTCCCATCAGCTTGTGGCTGCCGTGGGGGTGGCGTGTGTGGGATCTGCGCTTGTCCTCGCCCCCTCCGCGTGGGCTGCCCGCGGGGGCTGGCGAATGTGGCAGGAGCTTGGATGTCGGGGGGGCTGCGTGTGCTCGGAGGTGCTCGAGGGGGTGGGGGGGACACTGCGGGGAGCACGTTTGTGTTCAGACGTGGGTCACGGAGGGGACAGAGCCCTCAGAGCCCCCGCCCTGCCCGCAGGCCCCCGCAGCCGCCGGACGGACAGATGGACACGGCAGCCCCGCCGCACGCCCCGGCCCGCGCTGCACGGCCGGCGCCAGGCGTGCCCAGGGCCAGCTGAGGACGGGGCGTCTCCGGGCCCGGCGTCGTTGCCGGCCTCTGTCCGATTCGGATCCTCCCTCGCTCCGGGCGCGGCCGCCTCCCCTCCCGCCGTCATGAACGGGCTGTCGATCAGCCAACTCTGCTGCCTCTTCTGCTGCCCGCCCTGCCCCAGCCGCATCGCGGCCAAGCTGGCCTTCCTGCCCCCGGAGCCCACCTACGCCATGGTGCCCGAGCCTGAGCCCGTGGGCAGCACGGGCTCCCTGCGGGGCGCCGCGGGCCGCTGGAAGCTGCACTTGAAGGAGAGGGCGGATTTCCAGTACTCCCAGCGGGAGCTGGACAACATCGAGGTGTTCGTCACCAAGAGCAGCCGGGGCAACCGCGTCGGCTGCATGTACGTCCGCTGCGTGCCCGGCGCCAGGTGAGTCACCGCGGGTGTGCCAGCTGGGGCTCTGCTGGGCTGCCCCGGGGCCGCCCTGGGGGCTGCTGTCCCCTCTTGCCCCTCGGCTGAGCCTCGCTGGAGGAGCTGGCTCTGCCGCGGGGATTTGGAGGCGTCCGGTGGGACGGGCGAGCCGGGCTCCCAGGACCGGTCTGGCTTGTGGCTGCCCTGGGAGTGGGGTTAAAGCAGGAGAAGAGGCAAAGCCAGAGGCTGCGGGGCTGTGGGGATTCCCCAGGCTGTCTCACAGTGCCCGGGTGTCACAGCAGTGATGCAATGCTGTAGTTGTTTGCACAGAGCTTGGTGCTCAGGGGGCACTGGCGTGGCTGCACCACCTGCTTCTCCCCGTGCCCAGCCCTGTGGTGACCATGGGATGGGCAACTGCCTGTGCCAACAGGAGAGCCTGGCTTAGTCAAATTCACAGGGACATTTGATTCCTGTAGGAAATGAGTGACAAGAGTGAAAGCCAGGAGGGATTTGGTCACTCCTGTGGGTCTGTGGACTGACACCCTGGAGTGTCAGATGGAGAGCCCATCCTGCTGCCAGTGCCTGGGCAGGAGGGGACCTGGCAGCTCTTCCCTGAGCAGTGGCACAGTTTGGGGGTTCAGGTGCAGAGGGAGGCCAGGTCACCCCAGCTGACCCCTTTCCTGTGTCCTCCCAGGAACAACAGGTCCTCAAAGACCAGCATGCCAGGCTGCAGGGCTGGAGGGGAGAACCTGGGCTGGGGGGCCCATCCTGCTGCCAGTGCCTGGGCAGGAGGAGACAGGAGGGGACCTGGCAACTGCTCCCTGAGCAGTGGCACAGTTTGCAGGTTCAGGTGCAGAGGGAGGCCAGGTCACCCCAGCTGACCCCTTTCCTGTGTCCTCCCAGGAACAACAGGTCCTCAAAGACCAGCATGCCAGGCTGCAGGGCTGGAGGGGAGAACCTGGGCTGGGGGGAACCAGGCCTGCCAAACTGTGGGGTATCAGGTGATGCTGGCTGTCTGACCTCCCCCAGTCCATCCTGTCACTGACTTCCAGCTGGGGCTCCCTGGGCATCCAGGCCAGGATTGGAGGCTCAGCCTGGCCACAGACCCCTCAGACCAGCTGCAGGGGCTCAGCAGGGAGTAGGTCCTGCTCTCTCCCTCTGGCAGAAGGGAGCCAAGCTCTCATCAATCTGCTATTAGTGTTAATTTTTATGATTAACATTGTTTTTCCCCTTATGGTGGAAATTTCTTGTGCCTTGTCACTCCCACAATTCACTTCTCTCTCAGCATCTGGTGTCTTGCCAGGCTCAGGAGAGAAAAAACCCGCTGTCAGAATTCTTACTTGAAATCCCCATTGGGCAAACGGCCCCAAATCCTGAGCTTTTTACCAAAAATAGACTCAAAACCTTGAACAGAATCATCATCCTGCCTTCAAGCTGCCTGTTCCTGCTGGGATCGAGCCCCTGGCTCTGGCAGCAGAAGGGTCTGGGTGTCCCTGGGGGTGTCACAAGGACCTCCCTTGGTGGCTAGAGGGGTTTTGTTGCTGGCCTCGGGGGATTTCCGTGCTGGAGCTCCAGCACGGCAGCAGAGCCCAGGATTAACGTTCCGTGCCCGTGTCCCAGGTACACGGTGCTCTTCTCCCATGGCAACGCCGTGGACCTGGGGCAGATGAGCAGCTTCTACATCGGGCTGGGCACCCGCATCAACTGCAACATCTTCTCCTACGACTACTCTGGCTACGGCGTGAGCACGGGCAAGCCTTCGGAGCGCAACCTCTACTCCGACATCGACGCCGCATGGCAGGCGCTGCGCACACGGTGAGCAGGGCAGGGAGCACGGCCCTGCTGGCCTCAGGAAAACCCGGAGCTCCGGCAGGCTGGAAAACAGGAAATCTCCCAGAAGGGGAACCCTGGGCCGCTTGAGACAGGAAGGGGTGGTTGGAAAACTGTAGAAGGAGCAGCTGGGGGATCCAAGGGGCAGGGATGCTGCGGGGCACGACCTTGGCACAAGCTGTGCTTCCTGTCTCACTGTGCAAGGCTCAGCTCTGGTTCCCCTGCCAGGCTTGGGGTGCAGCCCCATGCCAGGCTCAGCTCTGGTTCCCCTGCCATGCTTGGGGTGCAGTCCTGTGCCAGGCTCAGTTCTGGTTCTCCTGCCATGCTTGGGGTGCAGTCCTGTGCCAGGCTCAGCTCTGGTTCCTGTGCTAGGCTCAGCTCTGGTTCTCCTGCCAGACTTGGGGTGCAGCCCTGTGCCAGGCTCAGCTCTGGTTCTCCTGCCAGGCTTGGGGTGCAGCCCTGTGCCAGGCCCTGCCTCTTTTTCCTCGGGTCTGGCTCACGGTGTGACCCAGAGCTGGGGCTGCCCCACATGGCTGCAGACGCTATAACCCTGACCTGGTGAGGGAAAGCCTTGGCATCCCCCAGAACTCAGCTGGCAGCTCAGCCCTGGCTGCTCCCTGGTCCTTCAGGAGCGCAGGGAGCTGCTCTGGGCCCAGCCATGAGGAGCTGGGGCAAGATCAGGTGGACAGACTCCAGACCCTGCCAGGAACCTTGTGGGTGCAGTGACCGGCACAGAGTAACCCTGAGCTGTATCTCCTGGTGATGTGCCTGGCCACTGAGCTGCCCTGTCCTGTGCCAGGTACGGGATCAGCCCGGAGAACATCATCCTGTATGGACAGAGCATTGGCACGGTGCCCACGGTTGACCTGGCCTCCCGCTACGAGTGCGCGGCCATCGTGCTGCACTCCCCGCTCACCTCCGGCATGCGCGTCGCCTTCCCCGACACCAAGAAGACCTATTGGTTCGATGCCTTCCCCAAGTGAGTGCCCAGGGCAGAGGGCTTGGGGGGTTTGGAGGGGCAGTGCCCAGAGCAGCTCTGGTCACAGCCAGGGGACATGTGGCACGTGGGACATTTTTTGTGATAGGTTTAAATATCCCCTTTGGCATCTTCTTGCCCTGTGTTTGGTTCCCTCTGGGAGTTGTAGCCCGCCCTGGGGTCGCCGTGCCCCCTCCTGAGGGCTGTGCCATGTGTGTACCCTATTCCCCTGTGGCATCACTTCCTGGCCACCTTGTCCCAGTGATTTTGGCCACCAGCTTTGGGACTGTGCTGCTGGCCCCTTGTCAGCTGTCACAAGCCCTGGGACTCCTCTGTCACCCAGGAGTAATTCCGTGGGGATTTTCCAGCTCTGCAAATGGCAGGAGGGGTGCTGAGAGGATGAGCTTTTCCTTTGCCTCTCCCTTGCAGCCAGGCCCGTGGGGCCCAGGGGACAGTCCTGAGCTGTAAGCTGTGGCTGGGAGCCACCAGCCCACGCTCTGCATCCTGATGGCCTCACGTGGCCTTTGGGACGGGCTGGGACTGGCCGTGCTTCCCTTCCTCAGAGCCCAGCAGGGAAGGGCTGTCCTGCAGCAGTTCTCACCAGCCCTGCTGAGGTCCCACGGGGATGTTGTCACTGCTGTCTGCTCCTTGTCTGTCACACTGGGGCAGATCTTTTCCTTGGCAGAAGCTCTGTGTCCCTCCCTGTCCCTGTGCTCTGCCATGATCAAAGAGCATTTCCTGGTCCCTGTCCCAGGGGATATTTTGGGGGCAGGAGGAGTGGAAATGTCTCATTCCCTGTGCTTACCCCCTCTCTCCTCTCTTCCCCACCCACCCTTTTGGCAGCATCGAGAAGATCTCCAAAATCACCTCTCCTGTCCTCATCATCCACGGTACGGAGGACGAAGTCATCGACTTCTCCCACGGCCTGGCGCTCTTTGAGCGCTGCCCCAAGGCCGTGGAGCCGCTGTGGGTGGACGGGGCCGGGCACAATGACATTGAACTCTACAGCCAGTACCTCGAGCGCCTTCGGAAATTCATCTCCCAGGAGCTGGCCAGCCAACGCAACTAGCCAGGGGACAGGCAGGGGGGTTCTGCTTGTTTCTCCAGTTCTCCCAGTAGCTCTCCCTGGTCCCTGCTGCTGGAGCTGTAGCGAGTTTGCTCAGCTCGGCTCCAGGCTCAGGAGAGGGCGGGATGCCCTGGAATGGACAGTGTTTGCTCTCGGACATGAGCACAGCTCTCCTCCCTGCTGGTGCCAGCCCTGGCGCTGCTGGCACCACCGGCCTGGCTGGCCAGAGACGGCAGCTCCCTCCTTGCCCCTTCCCAGAGACATGAGCCCACCCTCCGATGGTGGATCCTTGGCTTCAGACATGTCCTCGTCTCCTCTCCCAAACCGGCAAAGTCCCGAGCCCCTCCCGGCCGCTCTGCTGCTCTGACCATAGCAATAAGGCGAGTTGGAGAGGGGCTGGGGCCCCGGCCCCTCCCGGTGTCCCTGTGGGTGGGACACAGGAGGTGGCAGTTCCTGCTCTCCACGGAGCTTTCCCGGGGCCAGCGCTGGTGGTGCCCGGTGTTCACCCCGCGGCTGGGGCAGAGCCGTGTCCCCACGGGGACTATGGGGATGCATGGAGGAGGTGCCCCCTGCCCCACACCTCCTCCAGTCTGGCGCTGCTCAGCCTTCCCAGAGCACTCCTGGTGCTCAGGTCACCCCTGGAAAACCTCCGGACCACTCGCCCGGGGAGTGGGGCGAGGGAAGCAGGCAGCAAATAAAGAGCAGAGGTTTAACGTTTCACCTGTGTGTGCCCTTTCCCTGGCTACCCCTGGGGGCTCCTGACCCAGCCCCAGCATGTCTGGCCCCTTCACCCTTCCCCCTGTTCAGCACCTTCCCTAGATTGCCCTTGGCCAGATCCCCAGTGCTTGTCACCCTCCCCCAAGGTGTCAGTGGGAGCAGGGAAGATGTCCTCAGCCCCTGGGACCAGGCTGCAAAGGTCTGTGTGTCCAGTGGGACTTGGGGACAACAGGAACCCATTCCCCTGTCCCGTGTCACTAGGGGGTCCGTGGGATCATGGGTGCAGAGGTGGAGGATGGCCTCAGCCTTCCAGGAGCTGTAGGGGGCTGGGTGTGCCACAGGAAGGGGGACACCCCCATGGCCTGCTCTGTACCAGGCCAGCACAGTGAGGGACACAGGCTGGTTCTGGGGTCCCTGCGATGGTCCTGGGGAGAGCAAACTTCATTTTTGACCTGCTCCATGCCCAGTTCTGACCAGAGCTGTGTGGGGACCTCAGTGATTCTGGGGGTGCACTGGCCATGGGAGCAGGTGCAGGGGTGTCCCATGGAGTCCTCCCACCAGCACACGGGAAATTTGCCCCAGGGAAAGGCATAGGCTCAGGCTGGTGATTTTTGGGACGGTACCTGCTCTTACACCCCAGGAAGAGCTGCTTGTCTGTGTGTTTTCCTGCCCCTGGGACATCCCTGGCCCCAGCCCAAACAGCAAAACACTGCTCTGCCCTTTCCCCTCCCTGTCCCTGTCCTCCCGGTGTCCTGTCCCCGACATGAGGCCCTGGGGCCCGCCAGGCTCATGTGAGGAGGGATTTAATCTCCTTAGGGGCTCAGGGCCAGGCAGGGGGGCCTGCTGCACCCCCACGCTCTGAGCACTCCAATGCACCTATTGTTTGGGGCTGGGAGCTGGGGGTGGGGGGCATGGGACCCCCTGCTCCCCACACATCCCTCCTTTCCCCCACTTTCCCCCAGGAGCAGAGCAGCGTGTTCCAGAAGAGGAGGGATGACCCTTCCTTGGTGCTGGGGCTGTGCAGGAGCTGGAAGAGGCTCTGGAGGGGCTCACTCATTTCCAGGGGGATTTTGCGGTCCAGGAGCTGGGATGTTTGGCTTCTCCCTGCACAATCCCCCACTCCTTCCTTCCCCATCCCTCTGCCAGCAGTGGCCAGGTGGTTTGGGAGCCTTGGGCTCACACGTGTGTGGGAAGCCAAAGCCACCCAGCCCAGCTCCCCCTGGCCCCACTGTCCCAAGTCTCCCTAATCCTGGCACAGAGACATTCTGTGTGCACCCAGGGTATTTTTATCCTCTTACTGCTGCCTGTTTCCTGTCCAGCTGCGGATGCTTCAGGCCAGCTCTGCCTCGCCAGCAGGGTGGCTCAGAGCTCGTTGGGTTTGGGGGGATGTTGAGGTGGCTCGAGGTTGTTTTTCCTGTGTCTCAGTTTAAAACAAAGGCAAAAGGTCAGGAAAGTTCAGCCTGGTCCCCAAAGTCTAGAGCCGGGTCTGGAGTATGGGAGTCCATGGAGATGGGTATTGCTGGGTGCCACCTCCATGGTGGGGAGCCCTGACTGGGATCAGGGATAGGGCTTTGGGTCTGGATCTGGCCCAGGATGGAGGCTCCATCCTTACTCAGCAGCTGGAGCGAGGAGGGACAGAGGAGCACTCACCCCTACGAGGGCTGCAGGGGCCTCAGAGGGTGTGGGCTGGGGGTCCTGGGCACAGGAACCCCCACCTGGGGCCAAACTGGGCCATGAGCCACTGGGACAGCACTTCTGTCCCCTCTGGGATCACATTTCTGTCCCCTTTGAGACAGCACCTCTGTCACCTCTGGGATCCTACTTCTGTCCCCTTTGGGACAGCACTTCTGTCCCCTCTGGGATCACACTTCTGTCCCCTCCACTGGTGCTGCAGTTTGGGGTGAAGGAAGGGCACTGGCTGGGGGACAGGGCTGGACGGTTTCGGTACCTGGATGGGGACTCTGCCGTGTCCTTTCCCTGGAGGGGACAGGCAGAGCCAAGGCCTTGAGCGTCCCCAGAGTCCCTCCTGCAGCCAGAGCAGAGCAGGGTAAGGGCAAGTTTGAAGCCCCCAGCCAGGGGGGCACAGGGGCCCAGGCTGGGCATGGGGGACGTCGGGTGTCCAGCCAAGAGGGGTTTAAGTCTCATTTGGGGCATAAATGAGGCTTTTGATGGCCGGGGCCTGCGTGCCACAGTCATGAGACCTCGTTCAGAGGCCGAGCTCAGTCATGAGATCCAGGAAACTGAATTAAAGCATCTTAAGGAGCTTTTTTCCAAGCTCTGCTCTGGTTTTCCACGTGCTTGTCATATGAACAAAGACGGTATAAAAGGGCAGAGGGGAAGGATCCCATCGGTGGTCGGGCTGGGAGAAGGGACGGCGTTGGGAGAGGATGCCGGGGTGAGGGGCACAGCACGGTGCTGGCTGAGGCAGAGGGAAGAGACAGGAAAGGACAGGAGACAGGAGACTGTGTTGGCTCTGCTGAGTGAGGTGGAGGCCTTGGAGACAGCAGGGACAGTGGGGACAGGTGTGAGGGCAGACCTGGGGGAGCAGAGCTCCTGTCCCCCCTCCCTGAGCAGCGCAGAGCTGTGAGAGCCCGACGAGCCCGCGGCTGCACCCGACACCGGCGGCACCTCCCTGGTGAGACACGGGCAGGGGGGCAGGGGGGACACCACAGCCCTGGGGACACCACAGCCCCGGGACACCCACAGCCCCGGGACACCACAGCCCTGGGACACCCACAGCCCTGGGACACTCACAGCCCTGGGGACACCACAGCCCTGGGACACCCACAGCCCTGGGGACATCAGAGCCCTGGGGACATCACAGCCCTGGGACACCCACAGCCCTGGGACACCCACAGCCCTGGGGACACCACAGCCCTGGGGACACCACAGCCCTGGGACACCCACAGCCCTGGGGACATCACAGCCCTGGGGACACCACAGCCCTGGGGACACCCACAGCCCTGGGACACCCTGAGAGTGCACCCACAACCTTGGGGGGCACCCAGAACTCATGAGTGGCACCCAGAACCCGGGGGGCACCCAGCCCTGCCCTGCTGGCTGGGGCTGGGGACAGGAGTGGCAGGTGGTGGCTCCTGAGGGTCCCTGAGCTGGGCTAGGACCCTGGGCCTGGGTGGGAATCCATGGGATGGCCCCACCCTGCTCTGCCTGTGCACACAGCACACACGTGTGCATGCACAGGTGTGCACACACACAGGAGTGTGCACAGCCCTGCTGAGACCTGCACACACACACAGGAGGCGTCCACAGACACACGGACCTGCACACACACAGATGTGCACTCACACACACAGATGTGCACTCACATACACAGTCTCACACACACAGATGTGCACTCACACTCACACAGATGTGCACTCACAGATGTACACAACACACATGCACAGTCACACACACACAGATGTGCACACACACACAGATGTGCACTCACACACAGATGTGCACTCACACTCACACAGATGTGCACACACACAGATGTACACAACACACATGCACAGTCACACACACACAGATGTGCACACACACACAGATGTGCACACACCCCTGAGCAGCCCCATGCCCCCTCTGCCCCCTCTGCTCACCCTCGGGTTCCGCAGCAGTCCCTGCACCACCGGCCCCACTGCACCTCACCCCCGCCCTTCCCAAACCACCCCCAGGGACCGCAGCCCTGCCAGGGCTGTGCCTTGCACCAGGGAGACCCTCGGGCTGCTTTTCACCTCCTGGAGATGTGGGGCAGCCTGAGAATCTCCAGCTGCCTCTGACCCCCAGCTCCCCTGGCTCCATGGGATCCCCAGGATGCCATAGGGTCCCTCAGCTCCTGGGATCACCCCAGACCCCCGGATCCCTCAGCTGCTCGGGATTCCCCAGCTCCCCAGAATCCCCCAGCTCCCCGGGATCCTCCAGCTCCCCTTGCTGTCCCCTCACGTCTCTCCTCTGTCCGCAGGAGCTCTCGCAGGAGTGCGGGGCCGGGCCCGCTGCCCCCTGTGAGCTTCCCTTTGTCATCCTATGCCTGAGCGTTCCTGGAGGCTGGGACGGCCAAGGGAGGCCCACGGGCTGCCACAGCCCCGCGGTGACAGTGCCCGGACAGCACCCGTGGGACCCGCAGCCGGGCTGGGACACCCTGCAGCACAGAAGTGTCCCTTGGGGGGCCACAGCATTGCCGTGGGGCGCTGGGAGCTGCCCCTTCGTGTCAAAGCAATGTCTTGTAGGGGCCAGAGCATCCCCTTAGGAACATCCTGGGGGATGAAAATCCCATAGTGGGATCAGAATGTCCTGGAGGAGAGGTTGGGATGCACCCCCTTCGTGTGCCAGGAGCGTCTGTGGGGAGCTGGAGCATCCCCTAGGGAAGGGAAAGCATCCCTTTGGGGTGCCAGAAGAACATGGGGAGCTGGAAACACCCCTGGGGAGCTGGAGCATCCCCCAGGGTGGCTGGTACCCCGTGGGCTGGGGCTGGAGCTGGGGGTGGGCAGGGGGAGGCAGCAGCCAGGCCATTGCCCAGGATGTGGATGGGATTATGGGGTGTCACAGAGAGCCCCTGACTGGGAAGGAACTCCTGGGGGAACACGGACTGTGGGGTGTCAAATGCAGGGTGGTACCAGGATGAGGTACTGGGGGTACTGGGAACAATGTCACCATGCTGGTCAGCCCATCCCTGGGAAGATGTGACCCCATGTGGGGAAAGCCCTGTTCTCCCAGCTCTGTTCCCTCCTCCATCTTCACAACCCCCACCCGGCCCCTCGTGCTGAGGCTGGAAAAGTTCCCACGTGGATGCAGAGAAAATCTCCCCCACGGGGAGCAGAAACTCCTCCTGGGTGCTCGGATGGAGTGATGCAGAGCAAGGAGCAGGGAGTGAGGGTCTGTGGGGGGAGGCTCTGGTCACACCAGCGTCTGGTTTCCACTTTTTTGGGTTCTTCTCCCAAAACTCGAGCCCATTCACCCAGCTGGGGGTGGATGGCAGGGCAGGGATCAGCTGGGGGGGCA